ATTTTCAAAATTCAAAATGGCGGATCCAATATGGCGGATGATTTCAAGATTGATGCGAAAAAAATATGAAGTTACCTCAAAAACCCCTGAGTAAACATTTTAGACAAATTTGTCAACATTCAAAAAATTTGATCGACATATTGAATCCAAAATTTAGCATTTAGAAAAACGAACATCAAATTCGAATTCAGCGACCCCAAAAAACCCCGGGAACGGAATTTCGATCAAAACGCATAAATTTTGAAATTATCCGCCATATTGGATCCAACATTTTGAATTTTGTAAAACGAACATCAAATTCAAATTCAGCGACCCCAAAAACCCCCGAGAAACGAATTTTAATCGAATCGCATCAATCTTGAAATTATCCGCCATATTGGATCCGCCATTTTGAATTTTAAAAATCTGACATCATATTTGTAATCAGAGACCCCGAAAACCCCCCAAGTAACGAGTTTAAAGCGAATTTGAAATTTTTTTATTTTTCGAAGTCAACATTTTGGGTCCGCCATTTTGAATTTTTTAAATCTGACTTCAGATTCGGATTCAGCGACCCCAAAAACAGTAGTATGTACTTCGCTACTAAAATCAAATCATGTTTAGTATTTTTTTTTTGAGATGGCCATATATGGCCACAGACGCAAAGGTGGCACGACTTTTCGTGGCCATATATGGGCCATGGACTGTTAAGGGGTTAATGTTCAAAAATTTTTTGAATATTACATTTTTTAATTTCTGTATTTTTTTGTACTTTTTGTATTTTAATTCCAAACTGACATTTTTTTTTTATTAAATTTCAATCCTACATAAAAAAAAGAAAAATTAATAAATTGTTGTTTTTCAAACCAACAAAAACTGAAAACTGAAAAAATTATTAATTTAAAAAGGTATATTAATTATTCTTAGTTAATATTTTTAATATTTTCCTTAATTTCCTTAAAATAATTATTATTTTTAAAAGAAGAAAGGATAAAAAAGTGAAAAGTTTTAAAACTCTAATGTAACTTTTTTCTACAATTAATTGTTGCTAATTAATCATTTTTTATTAATTTCCTTATTATAATAATTATTCACGATAAAAAATAATAGAATAAATAATAATAAACAATGGGATCAAAGAGAAAGCATGAAAAATAAGAAAGTTTGAAAAATGTAATTAAACTTTTCTCGCTTTTTCTTGCAATTAATTAAATACTGTCAGCTAATTAATATTTTTTATATTTTTATTATTTTTATTTTTTTAATATTCTTCTTATTGTAATAACTATCAATTAACATTAGAAAATAATAAAAAATAAAAAATGTTCGCAAAATCGAATTAAATTCTTGTCCATAATTAATTATTGTTATTATGTTATTTTAGTTATAATTAACTTAGCAGAAATTAATTATTCTGAGATTTAGAAACATTTACTCGACACATTGCCCAGGGAATGCATTCGACTATCGAATATATATGTATACTATAACAAGTAAAAGTGTGTAATTAACTGTGGAATCAGTAAAAATACATAACTATTGAGACTATAATTATATATAATGATATATAAGTAAGTTGAAAATTATTTCATTGAAAATCGGTTTCGAAAAAGCGTGCAATTAGCGTGCAGAAGAAAATAGCGTGCAGGAAAAATAGAACAATAGTTGTAGCTGAAAAAAGAATTTTTTTTTTAAAGTAGTCTATTTTTTTTTAATAAAAAAAATCAAGTAGTTTAGCGTGCAATTTGTGAAAAAAGAGAGCATGTAGCAGAAATCAGGCAGGTTAAGATTTTTTTTTATTTGGATTAAGAAAGGAAATTCTTCACTGATGAAAAGAGAAAGATTTTTTCTTTTATTCTCAAATATTAATTAAAACAATTTCTTTCATTTGAGTCGAAAGAATGGAATTTTAATTTAAAATTTCACGAAAAATTGTTGAGTTACAAAGAAATATTGTTGTCAAAAAGAATTTTTTCCAATTAATTTTATTTGCATTTTTTATTTGTAAGCCCGTTTAGTGTTTAAATAAATAAATTTAAATAGTAAATTTTTATTTAATTCTTTTCCTGTTTTGTTTTCCTTTTGTTTTCCTTTTGTTTACCTAACTTATTAATTTTTTTATTTATTTATTTTCTCATCTATATATTAAGAATAAATTTCTGCAGTTTAGAAAATTGACTCTTAATAAATCCTCGATGGTAAATTGTTTTAATATAATAATTGTAAACTTTTTTCCTTTTTCCTAAAAAAAAAACAAAAAAAAATCATTGCTCTTTTTATCAGTAAGGAACGATCACTGACGATCTTAAATTTGTCATTTCGATCATCGCAACACGTTTCTTTTTTTGTCTTTTAAGAATCATGCAAAAAAAGTTTATTAATAAAAGGTGAATTTTCTTTTTAGAAAAAAGAGAAATGTGCAAAAATTCATTTGAAAAAAAGAAAAATCGAATATAAAAACAGTGATGCGGTGATCGACCTGTAACTGGGCAACAGTTTTCCAATACTTTACATTTTTGTATTAAATATAATAATTTAAGTTTGAAATATTGTATCAATATTTGATTATTATTTATTTATAATGAAATATTGAAACAATAATAAAATATTAAAATGTATTTTAAAAGTATGATCATATAAAATAAATATCAATTATAAATATTCTATTGAATCAACAGATTTTTTGTGGAATAAGTTTTATTTTGTAAATTAATTTTATTTAAATTTAAATATTAATTATTTTTATGATAATTATTATTACTAATGATAGTAATTATTAACAATACTAGTTATTTGTAATAATAATCAATAATAATTAATCAGAAAATACTATTATTAATAATAAGTAAATATTATTGTTAATAATAAGTAAATATTATTATTAATAATAAATTAATGCTGTTGTTGATAATAAACGAGTAATAATAATAACTGTCGATAATTGAAAAATTAGTAATTTATATTTTAATTTTCGAAATGTAATTTTCAAATTTTTATTCAGATGATAATACCTACTCTGGAAAATAAATAATATAAATAAATTATAACCGATATATAAATAAACAACAATATTCAACGATATTATAATTTTCGAAATGTAATTTATATTTATTATTGATAACCGATAAATTGATTAAATAAATAAATAAATAAATAATTTTACGCTTTTTGGAGAATATAAAAATTGGAAAAAATCGTTTTCTTTTTTGAAAAAAATGAAAAAAAACAAAAATTTGAATAATTGAAGAATCTCAACTGTTAGTATTTACAATATTAAAATTTTGAAAATATAATTTACAATTTTTATTTGTTTAATAAATATTCTTGCAAAAAAAAAAAAAATAATTACCGATTAATTGAATTTAGAGTTTATTTTGTATTTTTTTAAACTTATTTTACTCTTTTTGGGGAAAATAAAAATTTGCATTGTAAAAATTAAAAAAATTAAATAAAAAAAAAATCTTTATTGGAAAGAATCGAATCCTTTCTTAATAAAAATAAAAAAAAAAATTTTAATAATTGAAGAATCTCAAATGTCATTATCTACAATATTAAAATTTTGAAAATATAATTTACGATTTTTATTTGTTTAATAAATATTCTTGCAAAAAAAAAATTAAATAAGTAATAATCGATTAATTGAATTTAGAGTTTATTTTGTATTTTTTTGGAACTAATCTTACTTTTTTCGGAGAAAGTAAAAATTTTCATTGCAAAAAAATAATAAAATAATAAAAAAATCTTTATTGCAAAGAATCTAACTCTTTTTGAATAAACATAAAAATTTTTTTTTTTAATAATTGTATAATGACGTTAATATCCTACAAAGTTTTAATTTGTAAATTATAATTTTCACTTTATTTCATTTAATAATATAATAAGCAATAAGTAATGTTTTATATTTTGTTTTCCATTTTATAAACCAATTTGTACTTTTTCTGGAGAAAGTAAAAATTTGCATTGTAAAAAAAGAATAAAATTAGATAAGAAAAAAATCAATTTTGTAAAGAATCAAACCCCGACAGGCGGTGAATAATATTTTAAAAATGTTTTATATATTAATAATATTTTTAGATACAATAATATTTTACCCCTGAGCCACTGAAGAATTTTGTAAAAATTTTCAATGTTGATTCAATTGAAATATTTTCCTTTTTAAAAAAGTCTTTCTCATTCTTGATAAAATTACTACTCTCTAAATTTGAATCAATGACGATTTTTTGCTTCTGCAATCAGGTAAAATTAATTGATTGTCGGTGAAAAAAAGACTGATTTACAGTAAAATGTAACTGAAAAATTAAATAAGACTAATTGAATCTGTTAAAAAACAAAAATTACGTTTTAAATTTAAGAAAATCTACTTAAATATGCGCCAAGAATATTCCCCATTTAAATTAAGTGGAAATATTTTTACAATTTAATAATATTTATTCTTACAATAATCAGTATTTTTACAATAAGAATATTTATTCTTACAATAATAAGTATTTTTACAATAAGAATATTTATTCTTACAATAAGAATATTTATTTCTACAATAAGAATATTTATTCTTACAATAAGAATATTTATTTCTACAATAAGAATATTTATTCTTACAATAAGAATGTTTATTCCTACAATAAAAATATTTATTCTTATTGTAAGAATATTTCCACTTAATTTAAGTGGGGAATATTCTTGGCGCTTATTTAAGTAGATTTTTCTTAAATTAAGAATATAATTTTTTCAGTGTAATGATTAGCAAAAATATTACTATTTAAAATAGTGACTGACATTTTGCTTCTAAATCATTAATTTTTAACTGATTCAAATTTAGAGGGTAGACAATAAAAATCTTTTTACCAGACAGAAAAAATATACTCAAAGATAATTTTTTTCCTCTAAAAAAAAAAATGTTTCCAATTATTTAAAATATTTTAAATTAAAAAAGAAGAATTGTGTGATGTGCCCAGTTAAAAAATGACAATTAAAGATAATTGGGTTGGTGCTTAAAGAAACACCAACGGCTTTTGTGTTACCGTTGACGTGGAGGAGTGCAGAATGAGCGACGGTGTCAGCACCGTTGGCCACGCGACAGGTGTACGTGCCATTGTGTGCAGGTGCGATCGTGCTAATGCTCAGGGCGCTGTTAAAAGCGTCATATTGGCGGATGTTGATCGCCTTTATTGGTCCCTGATCCCTGACACGGGCCTGTTCGACGAGACCCGATTTCGTACTACCAACAATTTGGGCCTCATGACCCGATAGAGATTGTTCCGATACATCGTCAATTGGCACGTTATCTTTGAGCCAAGTAAATGTCAGAGGCAGGTCGCCGGTCACGACTACACACTGTATGCTAGTACGATCCCCTACGTTTAAATCGCGAGCAAAATTGAAAGGCGTGATTTTAGGTGGCACTGAAAAGAACAATACAGAACAAGGTATGCATTCCATCAAAGCAGTTCATAGACATTATAAAGTATAGAGACCCGAAGAAGAAGAAGAAAAAGAAGAAGAAAAAAAAAGAAGTAGGGGGCAAAGGGTGTTTTAAAGAGAAAAGTTCGTTCTTTCTTTCTTTTTTTCTTTTCTTTTTTTTTTTTTTTGTTTTGTTCACACGAGAGTTGAGCTAAACAAAAGTACCTATAATAGAAGTGTTTTAAAAGCATCGAGTGTTCACTCTCTGTAGGGTGACATTTTATTTCAGGTCCGACTATAATGGTGATCACTTATTGTAAAACATGTCAATTGCAAAAAATTATTAGCACGCTTTTATCTTCCGCGATGACGGGAAGTATTTCCCTCTTTTTTTTTATAGTTAATAATTATATTGTCCTTTTTTTAAACATTTTTATTTTTAAATATTTATTCTTTCTCTGTATTTTAAAATAGTTTTTTACTGTCTTTGTAACAATTTTTTTTGGTTTTTAAAATTTTCATTTAGTTTTATTTTAACTAGTTTTTTTATTTTTTCACTACGGTTTTACTAGTTTTTTTATTAGTTGTTCAACTAGTTTTCTAAATAGTTGTTTTACTACTTTTTTTAACAGTTCTTCATTAGTTCTTCTATTAGCTTTTTCACTAGTTTTTTGCTAATTTTTTTTTAGTTTCTATTTTGGTTTTCTAGTTTTCATTAGTTTGGTTTTTAAAAATATATTTTATTATTAGTTTTTACTAGATTTTTATTAGTTTACTATATAGTTTTTTTATTAGTTTACTATATAGTTTTTTTTATTAGTTTTTACTAGTTTTTTATTAGTTATTAAATTAGTTTTCAAAATAGTTTTTTACTAATTTTTTTTATTAGTTTCTATTTTGGTTTTTAGTTTTCATTAGTTTGGTTTTTAAAAATATATTTTATTATTTTTATTATTAATTTTTACTAGATATTTATTAGTTTACTAAATCGTTTTTTATTAGTTTTTACTAGTTTTTTTATTAGTTCTTTTATTATTTTTCTAAATAGTTCTTTACTAGTTTCTTTATTAGTTTCTATTTTGGTTTTCTAGTTTTCAATAGTTTCGTTTTTTAAAATATATTTTATTATTTTTATTATTAGTTTTTACTAGTTTTTTATTAGTTTACTAAATCGTTTTTTATTAGTTTTTACTAGTTTTTTTTATTAGTTCTTTTATTAGTTTTATAAATAGTTCTTTACTAGTTTCTTTATTAGTTTCTATTTTGGTTTTCTAGTTTTCATTAGTTTGGTTTTTAAAAATATATTTTATTATTTTTATTATTAGCTTTTACTAGATTTTTATTAGTTTACAAAATAGTTTTGTATTATTTTTTTATTAGTTCTTTAATTAGTTTTCTAAATAGTTTTTTACTAGTTTTTTTTTATTAGTTTCTATTTTGGTTTTCTAGTAAACATTAGTTTGGTTTTTAAAAATATATTTTATTATTTTGTTATTAGTTTTTACTAGATATTTATTAGTTTACTAAATCGTTTTTTATTAGTTTTTACTAGTATTTTATTAGTTCTTTAATTTGTTTTCTAAATAGTCTTTTACTAGTTTTTTTATTAGTTCTTCACTAGTTTTTTTATTAGTTTTTTTACTAGTTAAGATTTCTAGTTTTCATTAGTTTAGTTTTTAAAAATATATTTTATTATTTTTATTATTAGTTTTCACTAGTTTTTTATTAGTTTTTTGCTAATTTTTTCTATTAGTTTCTATTTTAATTTTCTAGTTTTCATTAGTTTAGTTTTTAAAAATATATTTTATTACTTTTATTATTAGTTTTTACTGGTTCCTTTATTAGTTTACTAAATAGTTTTTTACTAGTTTTTTATTAGTTCTTCATTAATTTTTTTTTATTAGTTTTTTTACTAGTTAAGTTTTCTAGTTTTCATATGTTCACTTTTTAAAAATATATCATTAATTTTTTTATTAGTTTTTACTGCCTTTTTTATCAGTTTTGCAACTAGTTTTCTGAATAGTTGTTTTATTACTTTTTTTATTAGTTGTCCAACTAGTTTTCTAAATAGTTGTTTTACTACTTTTTTATTAGTTCTTCTATTAGCTTTTTCACTATTTTTTTAATAGTTTTTTTCTAATTTTTTTATATTAGTTTTTCCAATAGTTAAATTTTCTAGTTTTCATTAGTTTAGTTTTTAAAAATATAGTTTATTATTTTCATTAGTTTTTACTGGTTTTTTTTTACTGCCTTTTTTACTAGTTTAAAAAATTTTTTTTCTAAACCTTCTATTAGTTTGATTTCCTAGTTTTCATTAGTTTGAAAATATATTAATATATTATATAATTTATTTTGTTATTAGTTTTTTCACTTGTTATGTTTTCTAGTTTTCATATGTTTAGTTTTTAAAAATATATAATTAATTTATTTTTTACTTTTTATTGTTTTTTTTTATCAGTTTTTCAACTAATTTTTTTAATAATTTTTTTTATTATTTCTTCACTAGTTCTTTTTCATTTTTTCCCCTAGTTATTTATTATTTTTTGCTAATTTCTTCACTAGTTTGATTTCCAAGTTTTCATTATTTTGAAAATATATTATTATATTACACTATTTTTTTATTAGTTTTTTCACAGAAGTTTTTTTTTAAATTTTTCTACTATTTATTTTATTAATTTTTTATATCTGGTATACTGAAAAACTTATTCTTCAAATGAAACGAATAACACTTTTTGTATCAAATTATTACTAAAGGTCTGACTGAATAGTGACTTAAACTACTTCAAAAGTTGTTATTTTCAAATTAGTCAAAATAGTCATCGAATGTCTGACTAAACACGAATCTATACTACTGAAAATATATGAAATCAGTGCAATTCGCAATATTTTTTATAAACACAGTCTAGACAGTTTGTAAACATTAATAAAAGACTAAAAAAAATTGTTAAAATTGCTATTATTGAAATAATTATTAATTATTAAATGTCTGACTAAAAGAAAATCTTTACTACTGAAAATGATATCTTATTATAATATAGGGTTTTTTTTTTTAAAATTAAAACTTTGTTAGTCTGACCAAACACTGACTTAACCTACTTAAAATACACTTTTCAAAATTGTAGACTTTTTTCTTGAATGTCTGACTAAATAGGAATCTTTACTACTGAAAATAACTGAAAACCATAAAATAATCCTCCTTTTTTCTCAATTGCCGAAATTTCTACTATACTGAAGCTAATATCGCAATATATGAAATACTTTTTTAACCAAATCATTAATAGTCTGACTAAACGAAATCTTTACTACTGAAAATATGATTTCCCAATATAAATTAATTTTTGGTGTAATAAATAAAAATAAATAAAAATAAATAAAAATAAATAAATTAATTAAATTTTGTTAATCAGTCTAATTGATAGTCCGACTAAGCGAAATCTCCACTACTGAAAATAAAATCCCATTAAATTTTAAATCGATTTCCATCGACTTATTGATCGTCTGACTAAGCATACAGCAACACTACTTAAAAATTGAAGAAAAGAGTATTTAATAATTTTCCCAAGGTGATGTATATGTTTATAAAAATAGAAGAAGTCTTAGAGCACGTCTGCTTGAAATTTCCTTTTACGCGCCATAAATAAATGCTACGAAATTGACTTTCCAAAGGAGAGAGGTCAAAAAAAAAAAAAAAAAACATTTTGCCATAAGAAAAAAGAAATGCATTCTGTTTTTATCGAAGAAACAGAAAGCAGACTGAGAAAAATATAGAGACCTAACAAAGGGAAAAACGGAGAATAATAAAAGATATGCTATTCAGCATATAAAATAGAAATATACTTTAATTATTCCTCCAGAAATCGATATTCCTAAAAGTAAACTATATATAAAAATTACTAAAATTCAAATTCATTTTTATTAATATTACAAAAGGTTAATATGTTAATAATAAATATTTTCGAAAATTTACTTCTTTTAACTATTATTTATCATAAATTGATAATTCCAATAAATTCTATAATTTTTAATCCTCGAGTAAAAATTCATCCTCTTCTCAAATTTATTTGAAAATTGTTTTATTTTTTCATATTTAGGACTATTTAATACTATTACTATTATTACTATTACTATTATTAGGGGAACATAGTCTAGGTCGGCCACCTTTTTGACTTTTGTTTATAACTTTTTTTTAAAAATGAATTTGGACAATTGAAGTATATGGTTGGAAAGTCCTGTTTAATAGGAACATTTTTTCTGTACAAAGTAAATTGACAGGTTTAAAAATGAAAAAGTTATAAAGATTTAAAAAAAAAAAAATTTGTAGTCCAGGTTGGCCATTACAGTCAAGGTCGGCCATGTTTAAAATTCAAAGGGCATTAATCGTTAAAAAATAAAATAACATGTTTAGAGTTACGGAAAATTGATTCTTTATTGTTTACAGTTTGTAACTTAATGAAATAACAAAATAATAACAATAAACAATATAAAAAAATAAATATAAATAAAAAAAAATTTTGCACTAAAATATTAATAAAATTAAATAAAAATATTAATAAGATGATCAATTATATTATGAGTTATACAGAATTGCAGTTTTTGCAAATGAAGTAGCTCATCCTCATCTTTGCGCATTTTAAACACATAGTGGCCGACCTTGACAGTAAGTAACATTACCGAATTGTTGTAACTATAAAGAAATACGTTTCGGGATTCGATTTTTTACTGTTTTTCTTTCAATCATGAGTCCCACAAATTTTCTGCATACTTGCCTTGACGATTCAATTTGTTTTTTATCTTTTATTAATGGTTTTTCACATTATGCACAAAACTTTTTTTGAGCTTTTTTTGTACCGACGTCACAGAAAACACAATTTTCGATTTTCCGAAAATGTAATTGAACAAAAAGTTAGGTTTCACTAAGACAAGCTTCGACAAAAATGCGCGTAGGTGGCGCTAGTGAACTTGACAAAAAAACGCGAGTGGCCTACCTAGACAGTAGGCCAAC